TGGTTGTGTCAAGGTAAACTTCAGGATTAGGAGAAGAGGAACAAAGGCTCTCATTGGTGAAAAAGGGTTTTAGTTCAAACGATATGGGCTAAAAAATGAAAAGTGGAGGAGGAATTCAGTGTTGGAATTACTAAAGAAACATCGAGCATGTCCAAATCCATGGGAAGATAGGTCTATCTGCAGAATTCAGCATAACCTGCCATGTAGGTGGGTCTGTGGTCAGTGATCCTGGCTGTCTCTGGGCTGCATCTTTGGGACTGACTTTTGAGAACTGTGGTCTTCTGAGCTGTCTTACTCAGCTGTCGGTCCCAGGCATGCAGGTCTGTATGCTTCAGGGCCAAGTGTTTGGATACTGATTAGGTGATGTGTTGTTCTTCATTTCTAAAATTGCAAAGTGAATTCTAGTGTTTTCTAGAGTGTTTCAGGACTATCAAGTAATGTGCTTGAGAAATGTGAGTTGATCTAGATAGAATTTTTTACCCAAAACTTTACAAAGAATTTTACAGACTGATTACTTTTAAAATGCAAATTCTTATTTCACAAGTATATTATAATACATGCTTCATATATTTTGTGAATTATTGTATGATTATTATACAGATACACATTTATCTGTCATATGGTTTGATATTAGATTGTATTTGGGGGACCGCAGAGCACACTGGCCTAGAGCAGGAATGAGAGAGTTGGGTTTCTCACACAGCTTAGCTGTTAGACTTACTATGTGAAAGAGTTATTCACTTGGAGACCTTGAGCGAGTCACTCATCCTATGAAGCATCTCTTTTTCAACTGCCAAAATGAGGCCAGCACCTACCTCCTTGTGAAGAGGATTAAATGAGAATGGACACAGGTCCTTAGGACAGTACATGGGCACATTAATCATGTAAGTGTGGGTGTAGTAAAAAATAATATTGTGTTGCTAGTTATAGGGCTTATTGGGTTTTTCTTCTAAAATGTTACATACTATTTTGAAAAATTTTTGATGGAATATGTTCTCTTCTATACATTTTTTAAAAAAACGTAGTGCTATTTTGTAGCAGAAAAATTTTTTTTTCACTGAAAAACATTATAGTAAGCAATTCATTTGGGGATCACGTAACTAGAACAGTCTTATACACCAAATCAAACTACTGTATTTTCTTAGCCAACAGTATATATTGCAATAAGTTTATTGTGCTATGTAAAAAGGCCTGTTAAGGTATACCATATACTGGGCTTTAAAGAATCGTAACATTATCACAACTTTGTAAAAACCCAGACAAATATTGATACTGTATATTTATGCATGTGTCTGTTCTTGTAAAAGAGGCAACATAGTTTCCATTACTCCTATTAACGCTTTGTGCCTCTATGAAAAGTTATCCATTTTTTCACTATTTGAATCATAGTATTTTGCTTTGTGATGAAATGTATGTGCTCTTGTTTAAAATTGTAACATATATAGGTACTTGTATATATTAAGCTTATTGTTATCAGCATTCAGACCACTAGTATTTTTTAGTGTTTTCCTACAACTCATGTATTGTTTTCAGTTATGTTTAGTAGGCTCATATTCTTTAAAAAATGAATAAAAAAGTATATAATGAGAAGTAATTCCCTACCCATTCTGCCTCCAATCCCCCATTGCCCCTGGAGAGGCAATCAGTATTACCTTTTTCTTGTGTCTCTTTCCGAAAATGGTTTATAAACAGGCACCTGATATAGTTCCCTTTCACCCTACCATACTTATTCTTCTGCACCTTGCTTTATTCCTTTAAGAGTATATCTTAAAGATTGTTTTATATTTTTGTTTGTTTTATTTAAATACCAAAGGACTCGAAACAACTTGTTTCTACTTATAAAAACAAAGCTTTAAAAATAAGAAACATAATATTGCATGGGTAAATTGCTTTTTCAGTAAGTTTATGTGCTGGCTTTGCTTGATTATGGAAGAATAAAATTTAAAAAAAAAAATTTTTTTTTTTAATCCTCACCCGAGGACATTTTTGCATTCATCTTCAGATGGATCAGGAGGGAGAGAGGGAAGAAGAGAGAGAGAGAAACATTGACATGAGAGAGACACATCGACTGGCTGCCACCCACACGACCCCAACCAAGGCCGGGGACAAACTGCAACCGAGGCACGTGCCCCCAGCGGGAACTGAACCCAGGTCTCTCTGGACTGCAGGCCGATGCTCTAACCGCTGAGCCAAACCGGTCAGGGCAGAAGAAAACATTTTTTAATGTAATTAACAAATTATGTGTATTTGAATAGGCTTGAACAAAGACTAGAACCCCAGGTATAGTCATCATTTCAAATCAAGGTCAATACAGAACCTTTAATTTGCACACTTTCTGTGAAGTGCATATTCTAAAATTGGACTACTCTTTTTAAAACAGGAGGCAAGGGATAGAAGCCATTGTGAATATGGGAAAAGTATGTAGGATGACCAAAACCACAAGGTTCAAAGCCAGCCTAGATAGAATAAGCATTTTGCCTACTCTGGGGGATTGTGTTTGAAAATCCTAAAAGGACTGTTGAACCTCTTTCAATAGAAACTAAGTTTGCCTGTAAATAGTTTTAAATATAGTAAAACATTTTGAAAGTGAGAATTCAATAAAATGTGATGTTTATTGCTAAGATGTAAGAAACTGCTTCTGGGGAGTCAGAGAAATTCCGTTTACTCCTTTTTCCTACTCCACTGACATGACATTTTCAGGTTAAAAAAAAGTTTAGAAAAAAAACCCCACCAAAACATAACAAAACAAAAAATAGTTTAGAATCAGATAGTGGGCAATGGTATATATATATTTTAAAACTAAAAGATAGCCCTGGCCAGTTTGGCTCAGCAGTTAGAGCGTCGGCTTCCGGGGACCAGAGAGATCCGGGTTCAGTTCCCGCTAATGGCACCTACCTTGGTTGCAGTTTGTCCCCAGTTGGGGTCGCAGCCGGTCGATGCATCACATCATTGTTTCTCTTTCTCTTCCTCCCTCTCTTCCTCCTGCTCTATCTGGAGACGAATGCCAAAAAAAAAAAAAAAAAAAAAAAAAAAAAAAGTTCTTGGGTGAGGATAAAAAAAGAAAACTAAACTAAAAGATATAATTACATATTTATTTGGAACCAGGCCCAGAATAATTGTAGGAGTAGAAAGAACACCCAAACCACTAAACCAGTGGGTGTATAGGCTACAGATGACAAGCCACCGAGGGTTTCACACAACTGCATATGATATTTATGGACGTGTGTGTGTGTGTGTGTGTGTGTGTGTCTATATATATATATATATTTCTTAGAGAGAGAGAAAGAGGAAGGGAGAGATAGAAACATCAGTGTGAGAGAGAAATATGGATGGGCTGCCTACTGCACGTTCCCTACAGGGGATGGAGCCTGCAACCTGGGCATGTGCCCTGACTGGGAATCAAACCGGGACCTCTCAGTCCATGGGACAACATTCAATCGACTGAGCCACACTGGCTGGGCTGATATGATTTTTAAATGACAGTCAAAATTTGTAATACATAAATTATTTTTTAAATGATGTTATTTCCCTGAAAAGTTAGAAATGTTCAGGGATGACGTTAAACCTACTCTACAAATATAAGTGTATGAAAAAGAGAGTTTCCCACTTACTGTCTTATAAAACACTTATTTTCATTTATTTTCTGAAATACGATTAACTCTATAGTGTAATTAGGTGTACATAGGAGGAATGCTATGTGATTTGTATTCATCTTTAACTTTACATTGAATAGCCAAACCACTAAGTTACTTAAAAACTGAGTTGCCCTATTACATATCAGAAGCCTTAAAAATATAATTCTACCTTGAGATATTTATCTTACAGAAATAAACATGGATATGTACAAATATTTACATAAAGCATCTTCATTACAGCATTATTTATAATGAAATATTGAAAGCAATGGAATACCCTGAAACAAGAGATTTACCAAATAAATTATGACAGGAATATGTGACTATTAAATATTATATTGATAAAGAATATGGAAACATAAAATATATTAGTGCAAAAAATTATAATGTAGTATACTCACATTTTTCACTCCTTAATAAGGTACACATGTACTTGAAAAGTAGAACAGATATAGATAATGAAATGATACAAGTTGATAATTCTGGATAGTGGGATTATGGGTAATTTTAATTTTATGTTTTAAAGTCAGCTAGCTATTTTTTCTACTATATCACCAACACTAATTTTCTGTTTTGGGCATATGTTACCAAGTACTTTCCTACCTGTTTTCTTTTCTTACAAGATTTTTTTTTCTTTTTGTTAATCCTTACCCGAAGATATTTTTTTGTTGGATTTGTTTAGATAGAGTGGAGGGGAGGGAGGGAAGGCGAGAGAGAGAGAGAGAGAGAATCATTGGTGTGAGAGAGATGCATCCATTGGTTGCCTCCCACACAGCCCCTGTCTGGGATTGAACCTGCAACCCAGGTATGTGCCCTTGACTGTGAATTAAACCTGAGACCCCTTGGTCTGAGCCAAACCAGCCAGGGCTGGATTTTTTTTCCTTTTAGTTCGTATTGCTTGCTCAGGGTTAAGAAGGGACCCCCATATCTGGGAAAGACCTCATACAGGCAAAGGGGAAGTTGGCAGTGGCTGAATATTGTAAGGCTGCATATGGAAGCCATAAGCTCCATCTCCAGACGCTCAGACTCTTCTTACCGGATTCTATTTGTGCACATGGTTCATGTGTTAAAATGTTACTTTCTGACCTGTTTCTTTACATTTACAAATGCTCCACTTCTCTCAGTCTTGAAATGCATATTTTACTGAAATAGTGAGGTAAAATGTAAATTAAAATTATGCGGGATACTAAGAATTAGCACAGGGCATGAAAAACAGGTGATTTTTACCTGGGGCTCTGTTTCTGTTTCTTCCTTGTCAGCCAGACCTCTCAGGTGATTTCTTCTAGATATTTTACTGCCTGTGTACTCTGTATTGCTTAGATAAATGTTTCTAAAAAGCTCTTTTTATGACATTGCTTTTTTTAGACATAAAGACCTGAAGGTAGTCTTTCCTGTCCAAAGATGGAAAACAGTACCACTACCATTTCTCGGGAGGAGCTGGAAGAACTGCAAGAAGCATTTAATAAAATAGGTATGCTTGAGAAAAATTACACGTGAAGTCTGCCTGATATCAGACTTCCAGGAATGGAACAATCCCTTCTCTCGCTTCTACCATGACCCATTTATTCCGAGATTTAGCACCCTTTTTTTTTTTTCTATCTAGGTTTCACTGTATTCTTTCTTCTTTCTGAAATATAAACTGAAACTAGGCTTGAATTTCTAGGACGATTGTACTTTCGGTTCTTTGCAGAGAATAATCCAGGTTAATGAATGACAGTGTAATTGAATATGCTTAACATGATATCCTCATTACAGAGAAAATAATATAGAAACACTTCCTTGTTTATAAACTGAACTCTGACCTTTATGTGTTTGTCATTAACAATAACACTTTTTGATTTCATACAGAATATTTTCACATCTTACTATTCTTTTTAAAGGCCTTATGGTTTATTTTCCAGTTTCCCCTTGAATAATTTAAAAAATCTTAGTGTTGTTTTTAAAAGTTGCTATGTCTTATTTTCTTCTTTCTCTTTTTAAAGCCATTGATGTTTTGTCTTTATGATATTATCATTTTTATTGGCTTTGCATTTTTCTTCCAAAAAATTCACTCCTACTCTATTAGGTTGCAGTTCTTCTGCATTTTGCTCTTAGGCACCTGTGACAAAGCAGGAGAACACAGATACCGTATTTTGCTCTAGTCTGCAGGACATGGGAGTGAGAGGTGAGCACCGAGAGCTGAGCACGGGAGGCGCCGGGATGCTGGCACCAGCAGCCGCCCTCTTCCCAGTGGGCCCCCGGCTAGTGCAGTGCAAGGAAAACAGTCAGATGGCACACCAGGAAGACAGAAGAGGCACAGTTGTGTGCGCAGATTTCATACAAACCTAGTGAATAATAACGAAACGAATGTAGATGAAATCAATGTAGAATGAGTTTTAGAGACCAATACAAAGAAAAAAGATTTAAGGTGAAAAAATAAAGCTCTTTAAAAAAAAAAGTAAAACTCTCAGGAAGTTTATGACTTACAAATCATTGCTATGAAATAAAGTGAATTCTACAGATCTCTGGGCCTCTCCTCTTCTCTCTGTGTGGCTGTCTCCAGGGTAACTCAAACCTTCAGAACACAGTCTGACGGTGGCCGAATTAGGTTCACAGGGTTGCCTGCATCTTGGTCTTGCCTTTATTTTGGGGACCATATATTTTTCATTAGGACATTGTATGAATGTGGTGATTTCTAAAACATCAGTGTTAAAATAAATGTTATAAGGTATTGTATGCAGTGCCCAGAGTCTTTTCAAGACAGAAATTAGGCAATCCTCGGAATACTCTGCTCATTTTGAGCATTGAAATAGGGGAAGTGCCAGGCCAGTGTGGCTCAGTGGACTGAGCATTATCTCATGGACTGAGAGGTCCTGGTTCAATTCCCAGTCAGGGCATATGCCCGGGTTGCAGGCTCCATCCCCAGTGAGGGGCATGCAGGAGGCAGCTGATCTGTTTCTCACATCGATTTTTCTCTCTCCCTTCCTCTCTCTAAAAAAGTCAATAAAAAAAATTAAAAAAAATAAATGAAATAGGGAAAGTAATAAAAATGTGTTTCTTTAGTTTGGCATTTCTGTTATTTTACAGGTGCAGTTTGGTAGCTTGAATAAAAGTGCCACCTAGGTCTTAGAAAAATAAATGAATTAGTAATTGTCTTTGTTTAGCACACCAACTTTAATCTTTATGACTCATGGACATATAATCCTGTAGTACTTACTTACTGATATTTTGAATAAATAATTCATTGGTGGAAAATTCTGACAGCAAGATAATCTGCTGTGTGTGGCAGTAAGTGCTGACAGTAGAAAATATGTACTTGCTTACTTTATTTACAAGGTAAACTACTCCTCAACTCAGTAATCCCTCTGCTTATTTGTTGTACCAACAAGCTTTTCTCAGAGGCAGCAGGACATGCCCATCTAACCTAAGTAGGTGGGATATTTTGGGGTCTGTATGGAGAAGTGTGGGGGATTAAAATATTTTTTTTTATTATGGTAAGATAGACATAAAATTGACCATTTAGTGTACATGTCAGTGGCATTGAATGCATTCACATTGTTATGCAGTCATCATCACCACAGGTCTCTAGCGCGTTTTAATTTTCCCACTGTCACTGTGCTCATTAAAGACTAACTCCCGTCTCCCTGGCCCCGCCATTCTGCTTTCTGTCTCTGAACTTGGCTGCTCTAGGTCCCTAGTAGAAGTGCAGTCATAAATACTTGTTTTTTGGCTTATTTCACTTAACATAATGTCTTCAAGCTTCATTTCTGTCATAGCGTGTGTCAGAATTTCCTTTTTTTCTTTTGGAGGGGGTAGAGGCTGGGATGGGGGTCGAGAAACATTGATATGAGAGAGACACATCGATTGGTTGTCTCCCATATGATTCCAACCAGAGCCGGGGATCAGTTGCAGGTACATGCCGTTGATTGGGAATCGAACCCGAGACCCTTCAGTCCTTGGGCCGACTCTCTAACCACTGAGCCAAACTGGCCAGGGTGAATTTCCTTACTTTTTAAGGCTGAATAATATTCCATTGTGTGTCTGTACGTCATTTTGTTTATCTGTCATCTGTTGATGGCCACTTGAGTTGTTTCTACCTTTTGGCTATTGTGAATAAAGTTGCTATGAACATGGGTGTGTAAATATCTGTTCGAGTCTCTGCTTTTAGTTATTTTGGACATATACTCAGAAATGGTATTACTGAGTCAAATTGTAATTTTATGTTGAATTTTTTGAGGAACCTCCATTCTGTTTTCCGTGGTGGCTGCACTGTTTTGTTTTCCCACCAGCAGTGCACAAGGGTTCCAGTTTCTTCAAATCCTTGCCAACACTTGTTCTTTCCTGTTTGTTTTGTTTCGAATGTAGTAGTCATCTCCTGAGTGTGAAGGGTATCTCATTGTGGTTTTGATTTCTATTTCCATAATAATTAGTGATGTTGAGCATCTTTTCACGTGCTTATTGGCCATTTGTGTATCTTCATTGGAGAAATTTCTGTTTAAGTCATTTACCCATTTAAAAAATTTTTTAAGCCCTGGCCGGTTTGGCTCAGCGGTTAGAGCATCGGCCTGCGGTCCTGAGAGACCCGGGTTCGGTTCCCGCTAAGGGCATGTACCTCGGTTGCAGTTTGTCCCCGGCCCTGGTTGGTTGTGCGGGTGGCAGCCGCTCGATGTGTCCCTTTCGCATCGGTGTTTCTCTCTCTCTCTCTCTGTTCCTCTCTCTCCCTCCCACTCTACCTGAACAAAAAAAAATGGAAGGATGTCCTCGGGTGAGGATAAAAAAAAAAAAAAAAAAAAATTTTAATTTATTTAAAATTTTATTTTTAATTACAGTTTACATTCATTATTATTTTGTATTAGTTTCAAGTGTACTGCATAGGGGTTAGACAATCAGATACTTCACAAAGTATTTCCCCTGTACCCACCTGGCACCGTAAATAGTTATTAGAATATTGTTGACTATATTCCCTGTGCTGTTTACATCCCCATGTCTTTGCCCATTTTTAAATCACGTCAATTTTTGTTGATTTTGTTGTTGAGTTTTAGGAAAGTCTTGTTTCTTTTGAAAATGTAATCTTTATGGTTATTTAACCTAAGCCTTGATTCCTCATTTTTAAAATTACAATAGTATTATAAACTAATTCAAGGTTGTAAGGATTTCATGATATAAGGTAAGTCAAGTTCTTAATAAATCTTGGCACAGAATATAAGCTTATAAAATGGTGTCTGTTGTTTCTTGTCCCAAACCACAGAGGTCATAGGGATGGAGCTGAGTTTAAGCACAAAACCTTATGTCTTCAGAGCCCTAAGTTTGAACTATTTTTTGTTAGTTTAGCATGATAGTTAGCAAGTAAATAACTTTTCCTCAATCTTGTTTATATTTTTTAAAATATTTTACTTATTTTTTTAATCCTCACCGAGGTTTTTATTGATTTTTAGAGAGCGAGAGAAATATTGAATGGTCGCCTCCTGTATGCACCCTGACTGGGGATGAAACCGAAACCTACATATGTGCCCTGATCAGCAATCGAACCCATAACCTTTTGTTGTACAGGATGATGCTCCAACCAGCTGAGCCACCTGGCAAGAGCTCTTGTTTATTTAAAAAAACTCCTTACCACAGTGCTGGTATAGAAGTAAGCCAACCTAGTCTATTTTTTTCATTTCAGAATTATAATTCTGAACTGGTGATATACTAAATAATGAATTTTGGACTGAATTCAAAGCAGTATTAATTATTGCAATATCAAGAAATTTGCTAACTGACTTCTGAGGTACAGCAATATTTTGGTTATTGGTAGATTCTAGTTTAGAAATGTTTCATTGTTCTGAACAGTATTATAAAATGTGTGCATGAGACTTTAGAAGTTTCTGTCTTTATCATTAGTCCAGTTATAGCGAAGGCAGCTCTTTCACTGAGAGGAAAAGGAAATGTATGAACCAGAGCAACTATTACCGAATGAGCCACGAGGGCTATGCAAGTAGATCCAGGCACCTAATCAAACAGTCCACAGCTCTGTTGCCGCTCTGGGCAGAAGGGTTTTTGTTTCACTTCTGTTCTGTGTTGACAAGTGACGTGCAGTCTCTAGGGAAAATCCAGGGGAGGGCATCTCCATGATGACATGAAAATGCCAAGGACCTACTTCCAAAAGTCCAAATATAAATGTGAAAATATTTCTTGAACACTTAATCTCAAAATGACATCCAACATGATTCAGCCTACATAATGGTATCATCAATACATTATGAAGAAGCAGTGAATTATTAACACATGAAACAGAACTGCCACCAAGTGACATGTAGGCCAGAGATGCCTCATGTGTATTTCACGTGTGCATGTTTTAGATGAACTGTGGGTCCAGTAGATCCCTTTTGTAAATCCCGTGAAGAAGTTCAAGTCTGGGTGGCTGTTCCCTCATGACCCTGGTGCTGTATTTCTCCTAGATATCTGAGACTTCCCAAAACTTAGTTCTTTGAAGCTTAATCATGTGCAAAACCTGAGTTTCCACCTGTTGAAGCAGTGTTTATACCGTGCACTTACAATACATATGGCAGCCCTGGCTCAGCAATTAGAGTGTCAGCCTCTGGACCAAAGGGTCTCAGATTCAATTCCAGTCAAGGGCACGTGCCTGGGTTGCAGGTTCGATCCCCGGCCCTGGTCAGGGTGTGTGCAGGAGGCAACCAATTGATGTGTCTCTCTCACATTGATGTCTCTCCCTCCCTCCTTTCCACTCTGTCTAAAAATCAATGGAAAAAAAATATCCTTGGGTGAGGATTAACTAACTAACTAACTAACTAACTAACTAACTAACTAACAATATGTATGGTAGCCCTGACAGGCATGGCTCAGTGTCAGCTCACTGGGTTCAATTCCCGGTGAAGAGCACATACCTGGGCTGCAGGTTCATCCCCAACCCTGGTCAGGGCTTGTGGTGGAGACAACTAACTGACGTGTCTCTCTCCCATTGATGTTCCTGCTTTCTCTTTCTCTTCCTCCCTCTCCCTCCTTCCCTTCCACTCTGTCTGGGGAAAAAACACACAAAAAAACAAACAAAACATTTGGTGAGGATTAACAAAGATAGATAGATAGATAGATGGATGGATAGATAGATAGATAGATAGATAGATAGATAGATAGATAGATAGATGATAGATAGATAGATAAAATACATATGGTAGTCCTAAACCTATGGGGGAAAGGTCCATTTAAATATGAGTTTTTTAATAAAGTGTATAGAAACCTTGTACAGTTTAGGTGCAGGAGAAAAGGTTCCTTCCACTTGTGTGAAAAAACCTGAAAGGTTCTGCCTGCCTGTAAATCTCCCAAACAGCCATCTGAGTGCACCTCTCCAGCAGAGGACCACTGCTATTTGACAGCTCATAATTTATCTTACAGATATTGACAACAGTGGGTATGTCAGTGACTATGAACTTCAGGACCTGTTTAAGGAAGCAAGCCTTCCTCTACCTGGCTACAAAGTGCGCGAGATTGTGGAGAAAATTCTAGCAGTTGCTGACAACAACAAAGATGGCAAAATCAGTTTTGAAGAATTTGTGTCCGTAAGTAATCTAATCCTCTTCTGGCTACTGATCATATTGCTTCAAGAAGAATTTTAATAATGTCATTTTCTCTTTGGTTAAATGTGACTGCAGAGACAAGAAAAGGCACTGCTTTGAAATCGATGATGATAATAGCAACAACAATGTCCACAGATAATTCATAAAACAAAAGAAAAAATCATTCTCCAATTGTTGGAATGGAAGTTTGGCTTAGAGAACAATAACAGTTCATGTTCTAGTAAAACAAGAGTTACATTCATTGCTCATTGACTATCTCTGCGTGCTGAATATTTAATATCTTAGTATTTGGCCTTGAGAAATGGAATAGTTTTGAACTGAAATAGCTAAGGTATGGAAGCTATACCTTCTAGAAACTGGTTATGTCCTTGTGCTCAGTTACATCTTCGGTTTCAGCAAGGACCGGCTGGTGAATTTTGATGCTAGCTGTGAAGTGTTGTTTCATTGTTAAACGACCTGAAGGCTCAAGGACTGAGCAAGATGGAAAATAGAGAAAAGTAGATTGTAGAACTGAATATCGAAGATTATGTGTTTCAAACCTCTGAGGCCCAGAGAGAGGTTTGAATGGGGCGTGTGGGGCAGGCCGAGGTGACAGCCTGTGCGGGGCTGTGGCTTTAAGGGTGGCAGACGCTCTCACGCACTTGGGGAGAGGTCAGTGGCTGGAGCTGAGGCGGTTAAGTTGCCACTGTGGGCTGGCAGTTGACAAGGTCTGTTCCTTCTTTCCATCAACACCGCCATGACTACATTTTTTATATGAAAGTATAACCGTTAATGCAAGGGAATAAATATTTATGAAATGTAGGTTGTCTGGTTTTGCATTCTGTATTCCTTAAGCAAATATTTGGGCTCCTCTCTTGCCAGGAGCTCTGCCGGGCACTGTGAACAACGTCTGAACAGAGAGCTGTGGCCTCTGCTTCCGTGGGTTGCATGTGGTGGGGACAGTCGCAGAAATGGGAGAAGGGGACTGTGACCATTGCTGTGACAGAACAGTGCAGGTCTCCCTCCGAGTTTACAGTAGGAGGAAGTGAATTTGGTGGGGAGGCTGCAGAGCCCCGGACTCAGGGATGGAAGCTGTAAAGACAGCCGAGATCTGAAGAAAGGTGCTAAGAAGATAAAAGGGCTGGATGGGGGAATGAATGGTGTGTGAGGCAGGCCGAGGTGACAGCCTGTGCGCGGCTCTGTGGCTTTAGGGACGGCTGGAGCCGAGGTGTTACGGGAAAGGGAATATGGCTAGAGAAGTAAGTCGGGGTAAGGTCATGCAGGGTCTTGCAGGATGTTTGCTTGTAGCCTAAGAGTAATATTAAGCCAGTGATATGGGAGGAATAGAGCGTGAGATGACCTGATCAGATTTGCATTTTTAAAAACTCACTCTGGCTGCTGCTTGGAGAACTGATTGAATTCAGTTTAACTGATCTCTAGAAAGTCCATAGAGAACGTGATTGGGAGAGGGTGTTTCTCTAAGCTTGTGTTATTTCCTACTAGAGCTGACTTACTTACATTAACATCTATATTTTTGAGATGTCCAGACAGGAAAACACCTTCATTAAGGCATGGTATTCTTTAGTTTCAGTACAAAAGATCATGGCGAGTCTAGAAGTATAATTTCAATGTGTTCAATTGAAGCTTAATTTTAACAAAATTTTTGCTGGTGTTTGGGATGCACATATTTGTCTATTTTGTGTTATTGGTAAAATGACATGTGAGTTATCTGTGAACACAAGCAGTAGGTGCGAGAATACCTGGTTAGTATTTATTTTGACGTCATTTCAAATAAATAGAGAAGTCTGAATCCTTTTCCTCCATGTCGCAAGGTTTTCTATGATTATCTGGTAAAAGCTCAATTTCACTTTTATCCCATTCCAGCTAATGCAAGAGTTAAAAAGCAAAGACATCAGCAAAACGTTCCGAAAAATCATTAACAAGAGGGAAGGGATTACTGCGATCGGAGGAACTTCGTCCATCTCCAGCGAGGGCACGCAGCACTCCTATTCCGGTAACCCCACTCACACATTCGATCTTTCAGCCACTGGTCCATTCAACAGTCTCATATTTATCCAGTCTAAGATGCCATTTATTATAGATCACACTGTTGTTTTATGTACTGTTGAGGGAAAATAAGACTAAGTTATAATATGCCATCAAATTTGAAATGCCTCTTAATTTCAGAGGTGTCAGAATGAAAACTCCTAAAATCGTAGAAATCAATGAGTTCCTACTCTGTCAGGCGCACTGCACACCAAAGAGATTAGAAACAACAAAAAAGTGTCACTTACTATCAGCATTGCCTGTGTTCAACCATAACCTTTGAAGGGCTTTTTCCTCCTGACTGGTGAAGGGAGTTGACCTTGAGACCTGATCTAGGAATATGTGGAGAGGTTTGTTGCAAAGACTTTCTCCTTCCATTTTGCGGGAGCTGAGACTCCTGATTCGTCCTTTATCAAGGAGCCAGTGACTAGAGAGCTCGGAGCCTGATTGCTTGATCTGATAGAATCACTGGATTGTTGCCCAGTGAGAAATCCAGAATCACAGTAACTCTTAATGTGGTGCCTTGCCCCCGTTCAGCTTACCTCTCAAAGGCAAGATGACTAAGAACTTTTGGCCAAGTTCCTTTTGTTCATAGTACCATAACATAATTAGAACTATACTTTAAATTTTTTTTTTTTACAAAAACTCACTGACCCCCCCTTCCTTTGTGCTCTAAATCCATTAAGTATCCTCTTGATCCTCTTCCTTTCTGATGGGTTTTTCTCTCACAATATCCTTGCACTTCCCCCACCCACTGTGTTTTCTCCGATCTTTTCCCACCAGGGTAGTGTAGTGGTGGAGGCAGTGTCTGTAGCTACTACCTCTGTTTTCAAAAGGTGTGTGCTTTTGGACTCCATTTCTGCCTGTCCACTCTAATGAAAAGGCCTCTTCCTTTTTTAAAGAACCTTTTTATTGAGCTAATGTATACATTTAGAGAAGTGCTGTAATCTTAGTGTACGCCTCAATGAATTTTTACATGTGCGTGTGTGTGTATCTCCTGTAGCAACATCCATGTAGTTGTCAGCCAGATCAAGATATAACACTTCTGTCTCCGGAGTAGATCCCACATGTCTCTAACAGTTACTAATTCTCCCCAGAGGTAACCATTTTTCTGACGTCTATTACTATACCTTTTTTTAAGTTGTTTATTAAGGTATAAGATACACATAGCAAAGTACATAAAGTGCACTGTTCTGTGGTTAGATTTTTTTTTACATATGAATACACCCATGTAACCATTATCTAGAATAAGATATAGAACATTTAATGGCTTTTTAAAACAAAAGAACAGCTTTGTTGAGATATAATTGAGATAGCATGAAATTCGCCCCTTTGAAATATACAGTTCAGTAGATTTTGGTATATTACAGTTGTGCAGTTATCATCACTTTCTAATCTAGAACCCTTTAATCATCCCAAAGAGAAACCCTATGCTCTTAGCAGTTACTCCCCATTTCCTCTCCCCCATCCTCTGCTGGTCATTAATCTACTTTCTGTTTCTGTAGATTTGTCTGTTTTGGAAATTTCACATAAATGGAATCATACAGTAATAGCCTTTCACTTGACAGGCTTCTTCATTGGCATAATATTTGCAAAGATCCTTCATGTTGTGGCATATATTGTACTTTGTTTCCTTTTATTCCTGAGTAATACTCTGTGCTGTGGAGTTTTGTTTATCCTGTTGTCAGCTGACAGACATCTGGGTTGTTTCCACTTTGGGGCTATTATGATGATACTATATGAAAATTTGTGAGTCCATTTTTCTGTGGACATGTGCTTGAATTCTCTTAGATATGTACCTAGGGGTAGAATTTCTGGGTCATATGGTAACACTATGCTTAGCATTAAAAAAAACCAGCCCTGGCCAGTTTGGAGCATTGGCCTGTGGACCAGAGAGTCCCGGGTTCGGTTCCCACTATGGGCACTTACCAAAAAAAAAAAAAAAAAAAACCTATTTGCTAAACTGTTTTCCAAAGCATCAGCACCATTTTACACTCCTACAAACAGTGTATGAAAGTTTCAGTTTCTTCACTTATCTCCAGCACTTGAACGTTTTCTTCATTACAGTCATTGTAGTGGTGGTGAAATGGTATCCCAGTCCTGGTTCCCGTGCCCGGAACATCCTCCCTTACCCTGCCCATCTTCACACGTTAAAACTCTGTCTTTGAAATAGTACCTTCTCTATGAAGCCTTTTCTTGATCCACACCAACCAGAAGTGATTACTTTTTTTTTTTTAATTCTCAAAACATTACTTATCGCTCTTGTGGTATGTTTATTTCCCTTATGTTAAGTTTTCTTGTATATCTGTTTTATCTTATCATTATGCTACAATAACTGAGTGATCTAAATCCCTAGACTCCTAAGTCCCTGAGGAGGGTTGGTGAGGCAAGAAGATAAGAAAGTAGATTGTGAAAAGTAGAAAAGAGAAATATTAGTACATGTTTGTGTCTTTTTGATTCTGTGTGTGTGTGTGTGTGTGTGTGTGTTTGTGATGGATTAAATTTTGGAATTACCTGCCAAAATTAGGAAAACTGCCTTATTCTAGAAACTGGGGTAATAATGGGGAAGGTCAGCTTATGTGATGGAAAGAGGCATTATTTCTTTTTAGGTTTATATTGTTAAATGATTTTTATTCTAATATAATAATAATGAAGCAGTGGAACACTTTTCCAGCTCCTTCCTACTTTCCCCACTGCATTAACACAACATTTCTGCCTACAGAGCAAGGTACCCTGCTAGAAGCTGTGTTGAGCAGATGAGGATGACAGTGGCTAGGAGTAGTACTGTGTCTAGATCTGTGTCCGTTTTCCTATAGAAATTTCACAAAAATGGACCTATTTTATTTATTTGAAAACTCCTGATTTAAATCAGTCTAAATTTTTCAAGGGTGATTGTGGGTGGAATGTATTGCTGTGGGTATTTGTTTCTTGTATTTTTCCTCTGGGTGTGTGCGTGTGTGTGTGTGTGTGTGTGTATCTGACCTCTGATGGTTGGCTTCTGATTCATTTACTCTCAGAAGCAATATATATTTGGAAAGATTATAGAATAAAACTGAACATTTATTGTGCTCATTTAAGATATATACCTTACTCCCCACCAACAGAGCAGATGAAAAAGTGAAATAAATTCCCCTTTCTCCTTTTCTTAAACCTTTTAGTGTTGTAGTAGTTTTAATAACTTGCATTTATAATCTTTGAACAGAAATATTTTTATAGAGCAATGAATTTTGTGAAATGAGGTTTGCTAATAAGATTTTCTCTTTTTCAGAGGAAGAAAAAGTGGCTTTTGTTAACTGGATAAACAAAGCCCTGGAGAATGACCCCGATTGTAAGCATCTCATACCCATGAATCCCAACGATGGCAGTCTTTTCAAATCACTTGCAGATGGCATCCTTCTTTGGTGAGCTGAGCATTGGGTTAAGGGAACTAATTACAATTCAGCAAATCCATTGTCTTCTGGAACTAGTTAACAAGTAGCTACATAGGTCTTGAAGAACTTATATCACATAGACAATTCAGTGCTATATGTTTTCTAGAATTTTCTTTCAAATGTAATTTCTTATTTTTCTGATGTCTTTTTATCCTGTTATCTTAATAGAAACTTTTGAGTTATTCTTTTGATGCATTTACAGTGTTCACAGGTTTTTTTTTCCACGTCTCAATAAGGGATTGTTGACTATTGACTGGGACAGGAACATGAATAAATGTATGAGAAGGATATACCGCATTTGTACCTAAATGTGTATCCTTGCCCTGGCCGGTTAGGCTCAGCAGTTAGAGCGTTGGCCTGTGGACCAGAGAGTCCCAGGCTCAGTTCCTGCTAAGGGCATGAACCTTGGTTGCAGTTTGTCCCTGGCCCACTTGGGGTCCAGTGGATGGCAGCCAGTTGATGTGTCTCTCTCACATCAATGTTTCTCTTCTTCCCTCTCTCCCTCTTGCTCTATCAGAAGATAAATGCAAAAATGTCCTCGGGTGAGGATAAAAAAAAAATGCATGTCTTTTACTCTTCGCAGTCTGTTTATGCTTACTCCATTTAAACTCCTGAGGGGCGTGTCTTATTGTTGCATTTATTGTAGTCCCAGGATAGTTCTTGGTACAAAGCAAGTGTTTTTTTTTGTTTTGTTTTTTTAATTTATAAAACTACAGGAAACTTACAAAGAAGAAACTAGCCACCACAAATACCCTTATCACGCATACCTAGCCATTATTAACATTCTAACATATTTCCTTTAGTCTTTTTTTCTGTGTTTTCTTGAAAAGAAGAAAAAGCTAGCCATGGGTACAGGATCTTAGTTTTTAGGGCATTACATATAGAATCTACTGTGACTGGATGAGCGAGAGTCCCCCTGTCCCACCTGCTTTCCAGTGAGACCGCTCAAGGGAGCAGGCTGGGTGGAACCAGCGGGGAAAGAAGACCCTGCTGAGTCTGACTGAGTCTGGCAAGGCGAAGAGTCATGGGAGATGTACAAGTGGGAGGCCCCCGTGGTCTCGCCCCTCCCTGAGGGGTGGGGTGGAGGTGGGGGGCTGTGGGAGGTACAGTGCCAAGTGGGGAGTTTGACTTGGGCCGTACATTTGTCAAATGGTCATATATGAAAATTAACACCCTGTTAATTTTTAAATGCTTTTCATTAAGATTTGCTTATAATTAAATTGACAGGTTTGTTTTTTTGTTATTAATTCACTGTTATTTTTAACAAATTTTAGCAAATAGGCCATATGTTGGGAAAAACACTGGAGTAATTTCACTAACATTAATAAATATTACATATCTACATATTTAAATCTAAGAGTCACTGTTCATTAACAGTATTCGGTGAATAATTAGCATGTGATCACACCACATAGAGTGCAGTAATTGGTTCTGGTGTCACGTGGCGTGACTTTCTGCGACAGTTTTAACACCTGCTGCCCCACGCTCTGCTGTGCGCTAAGCCACGCCCCAGCCGTGTGCATTTGTTTACTCACAGTGCCTGGTGAATGCACCTATTTACTAGACCTATTCAGTATTAATTTAAAATTACGTAATACATATAGAAAACTTTTCTGTGAAATTAAACTTTTCATACATACTTAATTTTAATTACACAAACGTGTCTACATTAAGTAGAAACAGGTAAAATAATTTGTCAAATTTTTAACATACGCATTTGAAAAAACCTACTGAGATTATATAATGGACTTTTGGCTTTAACAGACACTCCCTCGCCCAAATTAGTCCATTATATTGAGGTTTTACTGTATTTATTTTAGGTTAGGGAGTATTTTTTAGATTTTTAAGACTAAGTCCCTGACATGAATTACAGTATAATATTGTTAAAGAAATAGATTATTGTTACTTTTCAAAATTTAACTCTTTTGTCTGCTTGCAAAAATGAGCTAAGAACTTTTCTGGGAATCTTACACTAAATTATTCCCATCTTCTGTTTAGCAAAATGATCAACTTATCTGAACCGGATACAATTGATGAAAGAGCCATTAATAAGAAAAAGCTCACCCCTTTCACTGTTTCTGTAAGTATGTATTCTCTAAAATGGAAGCCCTTTCTTAAGGGATGTTTGGACCCAAGTAAAACATGTTCTGATTTAACATAATTTCATTTTCATATAAAAACTTGGTTTTTAGTAAATAAAAATTCGGCTGCATTTGTAATTAATGAAATTAAGATCTAAAGTACCTAGGATGAACTTCTTTTTTTAGCATAATAGTATTCAGGTTAAATTCTTATGATTATTGTTATTTTATTAATGAATATTTGCTGGATGCCAATGTTTTTGTTGGTTGGTTGAAAAAGGAATAGTGCAGCCCAGCCAGTGTGGATTGAGCCTCATCCCATGGATCTAGAGGTCTGGGTTCGATTCCCGGTGAGGGCACATGCCCAGGTTTTGGGCTCGATCCCCAGTGGGGAGCATGCAGGAGGCAGCTGATGGATGTTTCTCTCTCACATCACATCAATGTTTCTATTTCTCTCTCCCTTCCTCTCGCTCTAAAAAAAAACCCCAATAAAACCTAATAAAAAAAAAAAAAAGAAGAGTGCATAGTTTTATCATTTCACAAACCCTTTATTCTTTTTGCAATAAATTGTTGTAGTCAGCTTGTCCATTCACATCTTTTTTTTTTTTTTTTATCCTCACCCGAGGATATTTTTCCATTTTTTGTACAGATAGAATGGGAGGGAGAGAGAGGAAGGGAGAGAGAGTGAGAAACATCGACGTGAAGGGACGCATCGAGTGGCTGCCACCCGCACGACCAACCAGGGCCGCGGACAAACTGCAACCGAAGTACGTGCCCTTAGCGGAAACCGAACCCGGGCCTCTCAGGACCGCAGGCCGACGCTCCAACCGCTGAGCCAAACTGGCCAGGGCTCCATTCACATCTTGATAAACTTAAGGAATTTACAGTTACCATACTTTTTCCCTCAAATGTAGATCAGTGGGTGGATATCAATATTTTCCAAGCACTTACTAGTACCAGTCACTGTTCTAAACGTACTACATGAATTATCCCTTTGACTCAACCCCAGCAGTCTTAAATAAGATACTGTGACTTTAAGGATGATGAGACCGAGGCACTGAGAGGTTCCACAATGTCAGAGCCAGGGTGTGATCCCAGTGGCCTGGCTCCAGCCCCATCCTTTCCGTCCCTGTGCCACGCTGCCACTCTCACGTGGCGGTAGCAACAGCAACTGCCTCAAATGCTAGTCGCAGCTGCTGCTGTCAAACGTGAGCTGCTGCTGAACTATTTCCTGCATTTTTGTTGGCAAGTGCAATCCTTGATTTTGCTGAAGTTGTTAAGCCTCTTCTATAAGGAAGCCGTGACCTTAGGGCAGAGGCACATGGTTAATTTTGGACCACCCAAGGGGTAGTCCCATTTCCTGTCATCCTTGGGAATTATAGAAGTAGATGTTGACTGACAACTTTTTGTCCCCACTCTAGTAAGTCAGTAATGTTGCATATCCCTAGCAGAAATACGTTTCTTGAATAAACCTATTTCTGATTGTAATTGCCGGATTTTTTTTTTCACATCTTGTGTCAGGATGCTTCATCTAATATCTATAATTGTTGAAAACATCCATTTATGTCTTATTTCCAGAATACATGTCACACAATTTTTTATTGCACTGAATCTGAAATACAACATTTCTTACTGTTGTATAAATTTATTTGGTTTTACTTTTAATACTTGTATGCATACATTAAGAAAATAAAGAAAATATTCTGTAACTGTTTGCAATAGCTGCAGGATGGGTCTGAGGGGCTAAGTTTTTGCAGTTTTATTTTTAGAGAGAGCATTCTTCCAGTATGAGTAGGGTGTAACAGTCTAGGTCTCAAGGATGCTTAAAAGAGTGAATGACAAAAGGCAGGCCTCTGGGAAGGGGCAAAGTATTACTGTGGATATTAAATCTGTTTTGTTTATTTAGTAATTTTAGAGCTCTAGGAATAGATCTGCTAGGGAACTATCAGTTTTTCATGAAACTTTATCCCCAAGAGGTGTAATTCATTTGTAAAAGATAGCAAAGATAGTGATAATACAGTTTTTCACTTTATGATGATAGGGTTATATAGTATCATGATGTATGAAAGAAGAGAAATATAAAAGGATGAAAATGAGCCCTGGCCGGTTTGGCCCAGTGGTTAGAGTGTTGGCCTGTGGACCAAAGAGTAGTGGGTTCAATTCTGGCCAATGGCATGTACCTCAGTTGTATATTGTTCCTGGCCCTGGTTGGGGTCGTGCGGGAGGCAACCAATTGATGTATCTCTCTCTCATCAGTGTTTTTCTCTCTCTCTCTCACTCCCTGTCTCCCTCCCTCCCACTCTATCTGAAGATAAATGGAAAAATATCCTCAGGTGAGGATTAAAAAAAAAAATGACACACAATAACTATGAAAACAAGGGAAAGGGACAGATCAAATAGTTAATAGCAAGACTCATTTTTTTGTATGTGGTACATGTGTTATCTAAAATAATTAATTAATTTTTAATACAAGTTTTTAAATGTTGACATAATTGTTGGTGTCCCCCTTTTAAGACTCATTTTTGATCTTAGACACTTTATCATTTCTCTCCTACCTAATGTAATACTGAGCTGTATTTTCTTATTTATCATTATTGAAAGAAAAGTTAATTATATGAATAAGAGTGAAAAGCAGATTAATGATTTAGGGACCCAAAAGTCAGAAAACTACCAATAATGAGTATAGGAAATTGAATCTGTTTATTATAACATATTAAGAAAAATCCAGTACAATTAGTATACTCAGACACATACAAAATATACATGTATATACTTTATACTTACGTATATATACAAACGTACACATAAAAATATGACCTTAATTTCACCTTATATACAATTACAGTTAAAATAGGGAAATTATAGATCCCATTTGGACATTCTAAATGAAGTAGAAAGTGGTAATATATAAAATGATGAAATCTGAATAAAAAAATCATGCCTTTATTTGTATTGACCCAGTAAGTGTCTAGTACAACCCTCTCAAAATTATTAACAAAAGTGAACTCATCTGGAATTGAAACTATGAAATATAAAAATTTGGAAAGTGGTATGAATGAAAAGACTTTCAGTACCTATATGAGTTTGTTAGTAAAGAATCAAATAGTTAATTAATCAAAATAGAAGGGACATGAGAAGCTATCTGAAACAGCAGTGTAATTTTTCTTCCAGGTAAAGTGGGCTATATCTTAGGCACAGACGGTTTGATGATGCCTAAAAAAGATGGGGGAGAATGGATGGGTAACCAAGATAAACGGCCGTGTTTGCTTGTGTCTTTTGTTAGCACCTGTGTAAGATATACATTAGGATACCAAAACTCAAGGAAAACACCTCTCCCATGACCCAGTTGTTGGAGATTCCTCATTATCCTTGTCTCTCCCTCCAACGCAGATCTTCAGGGCAGGTGTTCTTGTTAAGACTTGGAGAACAACTCTTATGAGGTTCCCCTGTTGCTTCTTGTTCTTACGATGTTTGGAATTGGCTTTAGACGATAGTGGTTGTTCTATGTTATTTACCAGTTAGAAACTACCATTTATTAATGAAGCAGATTTTAGCTCCTTACTTTCCATCATTTTTTAGCTAACAACTTATAAGTCATTTGCTATACCTGTGAAGCCAGTGGTTTTGAATGAAATTAACATCAAAAGCTGGTTCTCCATGTATCAACAACACAACCTGTTGATGAGACAAAGCTGAGTTTTCCTGTTTACTGCAGTTAGGCAAAATGAAACAAACAAACAAACAAACACTCCACCTACAAAGCCCTGGCAGTGTCTTGGGAGCTCTAAAGGACCTTCTGACTTGGCCGAAGCATGGACTGTATAAGTGGAACGTCAGGAGATGAGGCCAGAGTCTAATCCTAAGGGTTTCTGATCGCCATGTTATGAATTTGGACTGGACCCTCTCCTTTCCCTCCTTGACTTAGATCACTCTTACCCTTTCATCCACTTATTCAGTAAGTATTTATTGGGCATATACCACGTGTTAAATAGTGGGGAAACAACCCCAAATATATAAAAAATCTCTGTTATCATAGATATGACATACATGATACACACACACACACACACACACACATAAGCATACACTATGTCAGAGAATGCTAAGGCGTGGGTTGGGAATAACGAGTGCCCGCAGAGGTGGTGGTGGTGCTGGCTGTTTTGGGGGATAGGCAGGGAAGGCCATTAGGCGCATTTGAGCAACACCAAAGGATGTGTGGGTATTTGGGGAAAGCCTGTTCCAGGCAGAGGGACTAGCACATTCAGAGGTCCTCTGTAGTGAGTGACGGGACGTAGCAGAAGTGACAGGGAAAACCTGAAGTGTTCTTAAGCTAGGGAACACCATCAGGTTTCTGTTTTACTGATTTCACTGACAGCAGAGTATTGTGGAAGATGGATTGTATGTAGACACTTTGATATGGGTGTTAGGAAGGAATTGAGAAACCGGAAGAAGGTCACTGACAGTTTCCACAGGTATCTGAAAGGTGGAAATGACAGATATTGGTGACAGGATGTGGTAGGCAAGGAAGAATAAGGGTTCTGCTCAGATTTCTGACTTCGGAAGAAAGAAGGCCAGAATGAATGTTGGTCCTATCAACCAAGACAAGAGGTAAAGAAAAGCGAGTTTTAACAGGTAATTCGAGGAAGACCAGGGAAGCATGGCAAGAATATTGCTTCAGTTTTGGACATACTGAGTTTGAGGTATTTCTGAAATACCTAAATATACCTAACCAATTGAGTATATAGGTATAGAGCTTAGAGTGGGGGCTTGGAAATAGTTAAAACCGTAGAATTTTCCTTTTGTGTAATGGTGTTTTGCTTATTTAAATATTACTTATGTTTAAAGATCTGAAATTTCACAGTCCATTGTTTCTCATTTACCTTCTCAACTTGTTGATAAGGCTTTAAAAAGTACTTCCTCACGGGTATTTTTCTTTGTAACAATTTAGGAAAATTTAAACCTAGCCCTGAATTCTGCCTCGGCCATTGGATGTACAGTGGTCAACATTGGTGCACAGGATCTCAAAGAAGGAAAACCTCACCTGGTCTTGGGACTTCTCTGGCAGATCATCAAAGTCGGTCTTTTTGCTGATATTGAGATTTCCAGGAATGAAGGTATGATCATCAAAAGTACTTACTTTTCGCTGACATGTGCGCACCGCAGGAAGGGTTTATATCTCAGTGCTCTCCTCCAGCTCTGATCGCGTTGCTCAGTGAGGGCGAGGAACTGGAGGAGCTGATGAAGCTTTCCCCGGAGGAATTACTGCTGCGGTGGGTGAACTACCACTTGACCAACGCAGGATGGCACACCATCAACAACTTCAGCCAGGACATTAAGGTTTCTGTTTTAATGTTCAACTTTGTGACATAAAATAACGAGGTAGAATGTAAAAACAAAAGGCATGCAGACTTAAGTTTTAATTGAAATTTAATTCATAAGGGCACAGTGTAGGAAATGACATTTTACGCTTCGTGGAGAATTATAACCACCAGATCTTATATTTAAAAAACCCGCTAATTGGCTTTTAATAAGAAATACAACTGGCTGTGAATGGAAGGAAACACTCCTTAGCAGATTAGAGCATTCTTTCCATTTTATATTCCACAGATAGACTAAATTATAAAGTGAATGTCAGCCTGTTACATCTGTGTGCTGGACTAGAGGCCCTTGTGGGCCTGACCAGTTCAACACTCTTACTGCCGCTTTGCCAATAACCAGTGAGTAGGAAAGCACAGTTTCCGAGGGCACCGGGAACCAGTGGACCACAGGAGGCCGTCAGGTCTCTCAGTCACGGAAGCTGGAAACACTGTCCTCCTGTTGGGAGACCATTGTCAGTGGGACTGTGACATTCAAGTGCCGAATAGCAGCTCCCACAGCCACTACCTAGACAGGCATTACCAACTTGGGTCTCTCTGACTTTTTCTTCTCTATGTAACTTTTTTTTCAGACTAATCAGTGCTGACATTAATTCATATTTTCTCTTTAGATATATTAACACCTCAGTCAGGTTATGTTTTTGCCAGAATGGCATAGATGACAGTCTCTCTATTTGAAGAGACATTGTATTTCTCTGCTTTCCTCTATTAAAATTTTATTCGGGGGGGGGGGGGCGCTCTCTCTTTTTTAAAGGAAGTTCATTGGTCTTTAAATGGCTCAAATTGCAAATAAACCAATTGGGCAGTGGCTTCAGTTTAAGACATGTGATGCATCTTTGTCAGCTGGCTTCGAAGCACCCTAGTTCCCAGGGGAGGAGAGGTCTCAAAGCTGAGTCACAGTGTTAGTGGTCAGGGCCCCTGGCTAAATAAGACCACGGTGTGTGCATGCGGAGAGCGCTGGGCCCGCAGGGCCAGGGTTACATTGTACTTTAATTCTGCACATTTGTACAACCTACGAAAAATATGAAAGATGTACACCTCAAACCCTTTAAGGACAAATATTTGACATGACAGGCTGGGTGTAATATCTAAAGAGCTGGGTTTCTGAAAAACCTATTTTTGTCTACATATCTGTTAACCTGGTACGCCTGAACACATCTTTGACGTATTGAAATTAGGACTGAACAAAAAAATAAAAATTCTGTGAATCAACTGTCTTAGCTCTGTTCCAAAGAAGAAAAGAAAAATCTGACAGTGGTGGATGTCCCAGTGAAATTACGTTCCCAAATAGCATGGTAGAATTCTTTGAGCATGCGCGCCACACAAGGCTGGCACGGGCCTCATGTTTGGTCTGTGTACACTGAACATGTTTTATGCATTATACTCAGGTTTGATTGCTTGATGTTAACTTTAGGACAGTGTAGCTACAGTATTCTTTATTATGAACACAAACAGACTGCAAATCCTAATAACTCCTGTATTGCCAAACTGTAACCTCATGAGTACAAATTTAAAAATTAACAGGTGGCAAGCATGAATATTTTCCCAAACAGTTCTAGTGCAAAATGCATTCGCACGATTGATGCTTTTCCTGTGCCTGCTCCAAAGAGATCAAAAAGTTAACACGTGCTTACCACTTGCAGAGAGGGATTTCCAGAACCAGCATCTTAAAGGAAAAGAGGGTTCACTGAAACATAACTGGTGTTGAATCCCATAGTCTAAAGTTATCTTACAAGTATATGCTGGCCCTTCATCTTAAACTACCATAGAACTAATTAAAAGCAATCAGGAGCTCTGGAACCTTACTTTCAAGAACCAAGGTGTAGCACACATTTTGAAATTGGACAGCCTCCTAGCAGACAGTTATTTCCCAAGACTCTTTTATACAGAAGTTGCACTCCACACTAGACATATGTTCTCTCACCAGGAACTTCACACTTTCAGTGATACATAACAATTTCCAAAATGTTAAAGTAATTTCAGTCAATTGAGCCTTCAATGGACATGCTTATATATTATATTTATTAGTATGGCCAAGATAAAAAAAGGAGTTTGGGCTTTGATTATAAAATGAAGCATCTTTCTCTGATTCTTATGGCTAAATATTTACCTTTCCTTATTTTATTTTATTTTTCTCTGTCTTCTGTCTCTCTGGCTCAAATTTTTGTTATTAAATCAAATATACCTTGTCAACATTAGCACGTTTTAGCAGGTTTCCACATGATTAACATTTGACTGATGGACTCTGGCTTTCACCTCTTCTACATTAAGCTTTTATCGTCTAAATCTGATTTGTTACCAACCAGCAGAAATAGAACTTTCTCATCTTCTTTTACTCTTAAAATATAAGCCCCTCCCAAGTCAGCTGTGGCTGAAGTGTTTCTGTGATAGGGAGATGCAGCAAAGACCCACTGGGAAGTGCCAGTCTGATCACAGTAGTCGGATCCCATCTGAACCCCATCCACTCCAAACTGCCTGCTTATGGCTGTTTGTCCCCACACCCCTCATCTGTGCACTGTGGGGGTCAGTGCCCACATGCCTGTACCACCACTGTTCGCTGGTGACTTTGTGTAAGGCCAAGAAATTGTGACCCTCTGGTGAATTTACTGGCATCTTGAATCCCAGAGTTTTTATCAAAGGATTAAGAAGAATCTGTCTTTTCACATATCACTGGTTTGTGGTGATGAACTCCTTTAGCATTTTCTTATCTGGGAAGCTCTTTATCTGAACTTCCATTCTAAATGATAGCTTTACAGGGTAATCTTGGTTGTAGGTCCTTGCTTTTCATCACTTTGAATATTTCTTGCCAGTCCTTTCTGGCCTGCAAAGTTTCTGTTGAGAAATCAGCTGACAGTCTTATAGATGCTACCTTGGAGGTAACTCACTGCTTTTCTCTTGCTGCTGTTAAGATTCTCTCTTTGTCTTAACCTATTACATGAAATGTTAAAGGGTCTTCTTTAAGAAGAATATGAAAAAAAAGATAAATTTGAACAATAAAATGGCAATAAATACATATCTATCAATAATTGAATCTAAAAATCAAAATAAATGAACAAGCAGACCAGAAACAGACTCATAGATACAGAGAACATTTTGATGGTAGCCAGATGGGAGGGGGGTTGGGGAGATGGGTGAAGGGATTTAAAAGTACAAATTAGTAGTTATAGTGTAGTCATGGGGGTATAAAGTACAGCATAAGGAATATAATCAATAATCTATTAACTATGTTATGGTATCAGATGGGTATGTGATTTTTTTGAGATAATCACTTAATATGTTTTATAATGTCTAATCACTGGGGTGTACACCTGAAATGAATATAATATTGTATATCAACTGTAATTGAAAAATAAAAAATAATTAGAAGAAGAAGAAGAATCTACACCGCAAGCCAGCCCTCTGCCCTCATGCCCCGGCCTGAGCATGCTTGGCTCTTGAGCCAAGGAGGAGGATTTGAGTGCCCTGAGGGGAGCTCTGCCATCCTCCTGCCTGCAGGTGGCTCTTCTATATTAAAATTCAGTTCAACAGATATATATTAAACCCTTCCTTGTGGAACATTATGCCAGGCAGGGTGGTTGCATAGACCTAGCTCTTGAAGCTTACCAGTTACACAGGGAGAGAAACATCTGGTAGATGGATACTTCAGTGATCTAGATATTGCTGTATAACAAGCCACTCCAAATTTAATAACTTAAATAATGACTTGTTGTTTCTCAGAATCCCGTGGGTTAATGCAGCTTGGTTGGGTGATTCTGCTTCAGATGGTTCTGGTGAATAACACTGTATTCAGCTGTGAGTTGGGCTGGTCCAGAATGGGGCAAGGGCACCAGTCACATGTCCAGTAACTCACTGCTTCTCCGGGAGGCCTTTCCACGTGGCTAGCTTGGCCGTCCTCACAGCATGACAGCCTCAGGTTGCTGGACTTGTGTTGTGGAAGCTAAGTTCAAGAGAACCTTGGCAGAAGCTCTTCAGGCTTGCACTTGAAAGCCCAACGTACCACTTTAACTGCATTCTGTTGGTCAAAGAAACGCACAAGTCCGGTCTAAGTTAAAGAGGGGTGCAGGTAGGCTCTGCCTGTTAATGAGAGGAGCTGCATGTACGTACAGGGAAGAGCTGTGAGAGCCATCTTTGGACATGACTTCATTGGGTGATTCAGGACAGTGTGGTCACATTCTAAGAGAAGCCAGGGAAGCTTCCGAAAGATAATACTTAACCCTGATCTTAAACTGATGCTGATGCTTGGCAGTGGAAACAAATGAGAAAGGTGGGGAAGGGTGTTCCGGTTTGGGTAACAGTGTCGCTAGAGCTGTGAAATGCAAAATAGCATAGTGATTTAGGGACCTTTGAGTAATAAGTAAAGTTAATAGTTACTATTCCATTCTTTGAGACGAGGCCTGTTTCTTCAGTGTGAGCATATTTTTCCTAAATCCAATGATGATTTTATTCATTTTAAAAATTCTATTTTATTTCTTTCCTTGCAGGATTCAAGAGCCTATTTTCATCTGCTTAATCAGATTGCACCTAAAGGTGACCGGGATGATGGACCTGCCATTGCCATCGATCTTTCAGGATTTAATGTGAGTACAGTTTTTAATTTAAAAATTTTTTAAAAAAATTTTGGTAAAATAAGCATAAGATAAAATTTACCATTGTAACCATTTTTTTAAATCTTCACCTGAGGACACTTTTTGCATTCATAGAGTGAGAGGGAGAGAGGGAGGAAGAGAGAGAGAGAAACATTGATGTGAGAGAGATACATTGACTGGCTGCCACCCACACAACCCCAACTGGGGCTGGGGACAAACCGCAACCGAGGTACGTGACCTTAGCAGGGTCTCTCCGGGCCTCAGGCCGATGCTCTAACTGTTGAGCTAAACCGACCAGGGCCCATTGTAACCATTTTTAAGTGTATAGTTCAGTGGTATTAATTATATTCCCATTGTGTGCAACCATCAACATATCTAGAACATTTTCATCATCCCATAGTGAAATCTGTATCCAATAATAACTTCCAATTTCCCCTCGCCCCCAAGTTCCTGGGTTTTACTAGTGGGTACAGTCAGATTTAAAGTGCACTTATCAATAGGAAGCATTCACTGTGGAGTCCTTAGCCCTCCATTAAAGCTTGATCTTCAGGAGTTTTTTCATGCCCTGAGCTCCAAATCTCCATGCCAAGTCATCTGGTTCTCATGAAGAACGGGAATTGCCGAATTCCAACCTTGAGTGTGCATGGAATCAACCCGACATCTACTTTACCTGGTGCAGCATAACTAGGACTCACAGGGTGTTTTTGTGACTATCACTGTGTACTAGATAAAGTAGCAACAAGCCATTATGAGTTTGATTAATTAGCAGTTGATTAACAGTTCTTCCGACTTATATTTGGAAATACACAAAATGAAAGATGACAATTCCTAGTATTTATGGTGTAGGAAGGGCTGAAAGAGATCCTGATCCATCTAACACAATTCCTAGAAATCCCATTCTTTTAGCATAAGTTGTAAATACCAGGGATGGTTCTATCAAAACATTAAAATCAGGTCAGACTATAGTTTGAACATCTATCAAGTGCTTAAAGTACAATATCAGCAGTATTTAGTTTTAAAGGCAACTTAAGTCATTACTTAATTATATTTCACATTATTATAATGAAACGTCTAAGAAATTTGGTATTGTAAAATTTTGCAAATTAGTCTGAGTTAAAAAATTAACGAAATAATTAGACTTCTTGTCAAGATGATGGTGTAGGTAAACATGGTATTGCTTCCTCCCACAACCACATCAAAATTACAACTAAACTACAGAACAACCACCATTCAGAACTGCCTGATATCCAGCTGAATGGAAGTCTTACAACTACGGAATTAAAGCAGCAGCCACACCGAGACTGGTAGGAGGGGCAGAGGCGTGGAGAGGCTGGTCCCACACCCATGTGTGATGGATAAAATCAGGAGGACACCTCTGCTGGGAAGGTCCTCCCTGAGGAGTGAGGGGTCCCTGTCCCACACCAGGTACCCAGCTCAGGGTTCCAGTGCCAGGAAGAGAAGTCCCATAACTTCTGGCTATAAAAACCAGGGGGAACTAAGGCTGAGGGAGGCTGAGACTGCTGGAGCCCAAGGCAGCTCCTCTTAAAGGGCCCGCACATGGACTTACTTGGACTCGCACCCTCCAGGCTCCAGTGTAGGGGAGGCAGCTTGAAAGGCATCAGAGACATGCAGGGAAGAACTGAGTTGTCTGGCATTGGGGTGAGACCTGGAGGGGCAGCTTTCTCCTGGACAGATTTCCTGTGGGAGGCTGTTGTTCCTGTGGTGAGCCTTTCCCCACCGGACTCCAGCGACCTGGCTCACACTGTTCGCCCCACCCTGGTGATTCCCTGAGGCCCTGCCCCACCCAACTTCCGGGCCACCCAAGCTGTTTACAATGGTTTTATCATAGGATTGGCCTGTTTTGGATCCTGCCAGTGGTCAGTGGGCAAGCCAGTCCCTGCAGCTGATCACCCTGAGTAAATCCCTCCTACTGAATTGCCAACAGCAATCAAGACTCAATTACAACAGAAGGGTGTACAGTCCACGCTAGGGTGCACCTTGAGGGCCTAGCTGGGATGATTAGGGAGGTTGTGCCACTGGATCCTACAGGACACCTACAACAATAGGTCACCTTATGAAGCCTAGAAGACATAGCAACTCTACCTAATACATAGGAACAAACACAAGGAAGCAGCCAAAATGAGGAGACAAAGAAACATGTCTCAAATGAAAGAAAAAAAACAAAACTCCAGGGAAAGAACTAAACAAAATGGTGATAAGCAATCAATCAGATGTGGAGTTCAAAACACTGTTTTAAGGATGCTTAAGAAACGTAGTGAGAACTTAAAGGAACTTAAGGAGAACTCCAAAGAATTTAGTGAGAACATCAACAACATAAAAAAGGACCAGTCAGAAATGAAGGAGGCACTAACTGAAATAAAGAATAATTTACAGAGAATCAATAGTAGAGTAGGTAAAGCCAAGAAGCAAACCATCAATTTGGAATATAAGGAAGCAGAAAACACCCAATCAGAAAAACAAAAAGAAAAAATAATCTAAAAAAATGAGTATTGTGTAAGGAGCCTTTGGGACAACTTTAAGTGTGCCAACATTTGCATCTTGGGGGTGCCGGAAGGAGAAGAGAACAAGAAATTGAAAACCTATTTGAAAAAATAATGACAGAAAACTTCCCTAACTTGGTGACGGAAACAGACATACAAGTCCAGGAAGCACAGAGTGTCCCAAACAAGATGAACCCAAAGAGGTCCACAAGAAGACACATCATCATCAAAATACACCCCTATGTTCTTAGCGGTGCTATTTACAATAGCCAAAATATGGAAACGTCCTAAGTGCCCATGAGTGGATAAAAAAGCTTTGGCACATTTACACAGTGAATTGCTACATGGCTGTAAAAAAAGAAGGAACTTTACCCTTTGTGACAGCATGGAGGAACCTGGAGATTATTATGCTAAGCAAAGTAAGTCAGAGAAAGACAAATATCACTTACATGTGGAATCTAAAGGACAAAATAAACTGACAAACAAAACAGGACTAGAGGCATGGAAGCATGGAACAGACTGACAGATCTCAGAGGGGAGGAGGGTGAGAAGGGCTGGAAGAGATCAACCAAAGAATATAAATGTGCCTGCTGGTGTGGCTCAGTGGTTGAGCATTGGCCCATGCACCAAGAGGTCGCTGGTTTGATTCCCACACAGGGCACATACCCAGGTTATGGGCCAAATCCCCGGAGGGGGGGTGGCATGCAGGAGGCGGCCAATTGATGTTCTTTCTCATCAATGTTTGTATCTCCATCTCCCTTTCTTTCTCCCTAAAATCAACAAAGAAAAAAACACATTTTATTTTCAAAATGTAATAGAATCTACAGACACCTTGTATACATTTTTTGGGGACACCCTGTATATATATATAAAGACACTTAAAATATAACCACTATACCTTATCTTTACTAAAAATATTAGCAATCATCTGTAATATCATCTAAATATCTGGTCAATACTGAAATTTCTAATTGGCTCATAAATGTCATATTTTCTTTTTAAAGTTTGTTTGAATTAAGATATAAATAAGGTCTACATATTGTGATTTGTTGATGTCTACCTTAGTAACATTTTATTTTTGTTTAATAATGTTAAACCTATTACGTTCTTTGATTTCATTTACATTTCTACTTTTCTGCAAGTCTGGTACACAGAATTAGATAAGTCATAATCCTTGTATGATATACTATCATCATGGGTTCATACATATCTGTTTCTTCACTTATTCATTTTGGAGGGGTGGATAATGAGACTATTCCAGAATTAGATAGTAGTGATGGTTTTACAACTTTGTAAATATACTGAAAATCACTTAATTGTATACTTGAAAATGGTGAATTTTATAGGATATGAATTATATCTCAATAAAAAATATTAAAAATGCATATTATCAATCTAATCATAAGAGCACATTAGACAAATTCAAATTAAAGGACATTCTACAAAATAATTGGTAGAGTATACCAGTACTCCTCAAGAGTCAAGATCACTAAAGTAAAAAATAAAAGCCTTAGGGACTACCTCAGATCAGAAGAACACAAGGAAACATAAGAACTAAATATTTTTGTTTGTAGTTGTTTGTTTTAAAAGTGTAACAAGCTCCTGTGAACTCTCACTCCAACAAGAAAGCTAAGACCTTGACATTGATTTACATTTAGCTCTGCAGGTCTTCCCTGTCCCATCTTTCTCCCTTTCTTTAAAGTAACAATAGCCACCTTGAATCTTATGTTCATTGTTCTTTTGCTTTTCTTTCAACCAAATATATTCCTTACAAAATTAAATTATTTTACTTTTTTTTTTAATCTTCACTCGAGGATATTTTTCCATTGACAGAGTGGGAGGGGGAAGGGAGAGTGAGTGAGAGAAACATTGATATGAGAGAGACATATCTATTGGTTGCCTCCCACACGACACCTACTGGGGTTGGAGATCGAACTTGCAACTGAGATACATGCCCTTGACTGGGAATCAAACCCGAGACTCCGAGGTTCATGGGCCAACACTGTAACCGCTGAGCCACACTGGCCAGGACTATTTTGCTTTTTACCTTCATATAAAGTTTATCATGTTGTACTTAAATTTCTAGTACTTATTTTGAACGTAATGTATTCCTAAGTCACTCACATTGTTGTATGTCATCGTGTGAATATGACAGTTTATTCTTCGACTCTCCTGTTGATAAGCATTTGGTTTGTTTCCAGGGTTTCGTAATTGTGAAAAGTGCTGTTCCTCATGACTTTAATATTTTTTATTCAAATAGAATATCCCAACTTGTTTAAATATCATTCAGGGTAGAATGGGTGAGACAAGTAAGCCTCTTAATCAGAAGGCACTTTAATATATGGCCTTGATCAAGTTATCTGTAATTTGATCAGTAGGAGTTGACTGATACAACAGTATATGAGAGTTTTGTTGAGTATTTCAGCAGTGAGGGTGAAATATTATTCTTATTCCAATATGAAAATTCAGAGACTTATACTTATTGATTTAAAAGAAATGGGGAAGTTGATTTGGAATTTCTGAATGTTCTGACTTTATTTTGAGCTATTATTAGATATATTTCCAGAAGAGCAATTGCTTACACATATGTATATCAATAAAAAGTTATGCCAATCAAAAGTTTAATCTAGACCATTTTTATTCTATTTTATTGTTTAGGAGAAAAATGACCTGAAGCGTGCTGGATTTATGCTTCAAGAAGCAGATAAACTGGGCTGCAGACAGTTTGTCACTCCTGCAGATGTGGTTTCAGGCAATCCTAAACTTAATTTAGCGTTCGTAGCTAATCTGTTTAACACATACCCCTGCCTACACAAGCCTGATAATAATGACATCGATATGAACTTATTGGAAGGTATGTTCTTTCTGCCTTTAATTGATTCACTGATACGTTCCTGTGGTATTGTCTTACTTCACGGTTAGAGATAGGGGAGTTGGTGGGAGACGTTGTTTACTGTGTGTAGGAATGTGTATCCATTAAAAAGGTAAAATTACAGAAAGTGGTTGTTGGTTTTGGTTAAAAGAGTGTGGGGAAAATCTTACTTGTCTGTCATTTCTCTGTAAGATGTTAGTGAAAACTATCATTCATTAAAAATATTCTCTTAAATGACCACATAACATAACTCCACCACGAATATGGACAATGAATTATCTATTGGAAAAAATAATTATTTGTAGCTTGTTTTCTCCTTTGAAAGCTACAGTTTGACTCCAGTATTGTTCTCTTTTTAATGTTTTTAGTGTACATGAAAAAATTTACAACATTCATTACTTGTCTTGTGTGTGGGCTATTGTTATCTGTCTCATAATTTATAATACTTTCCTATTTTGCTTCATGAAATGCAGATTTGACCCCTCCTAATGTAGGTACTGTATTTAGTACTTTCCTATATTCTATAAATATATTCATTCTGAATGTTCTTTTTATTAGTACCATTTATTCTTTCTATCTGAGTTGATATTTATTTTTTGCATTGTTCATGCTGTGTTTTTTCAGTCTTAATATGCCTAAAGAATGCATGATGACAAGCAAGAAACCCAAATGAAACTTAATTAGAATAGCAGAGCAAGGCTTGGTTATGTAAATTCTCAACCTAACTTGCCTTCTGCAATGATGGGATAGTGTAGTTGTGAACACATTAGAAAACAATATTGACCATTGGATTTCATGATTTGATGTAAAACCTTTATCCCTCTCCTATACATAAACAAACTTTTAGCACAAGTAATTTTTGAAAGGATTTATGTAGGTTCTGTAACATAGATTATTCTGTATTATTTAGTTATGTTTCACTTACTGAATGTCACTGAAGCTTATAATATATGAATCGTCTTAATGACAAATACATTCTCAATATCTAGTTCTTTCTCCTTATCTGTTTCCCAGCCTCTCTTCTTTTCTTCTCCCATGCTCACCCTCTCACCCACGTGCAAATGAAAACCCACATTAGTATCAACTAAAAGTAAACAGTGGCAGTGGTGGTGGCAGTTGTCAGAGGTAGGGCCAACCCTAAAATATTCCCACTGGTTGCCCTGGTTTGGAGAAAGGAGTCCTCATGTAGGGATTCCTGGTGGGGAGAATTTGCTGATTCAGTGCTCATTCCCTCACATCACCCACATTGCTCCCCTTTCCCCTAGTGAGACAATCAGTTTCATCTTTTTCTCTTTGACTTCCACAACCAGAGTTCCAGTGTCCTTGTCACTTTGTAATTGTGTTTTTTTAATTAATGAAAGAAGTTTCAGAGTTAACAAATATGTTCTTTGAAGAATATGATTAATTCAGTTCACTCTTCCTGAGGTCCAGTAAAATAAAATAAGGACTGTCTTCTCTACGTACATAACTAAGAGGAAAGATATATAAAAACATGGAATTGTCAGCAGAGAAATATAGAATGAGAAATTAGAACTTTAAAAAAACTAAATGGAAAGGAAGACTGCTAAGTTTTTATGAGTCTGGAAAATTTCAAAATCCCTTGATGTCTTACATTAGATGGCATTGTTTAGAGTGGCATATTAAAAATGATCTGCTTTTTATAGTCACCAAATTCTTGTTAGATATCATTTCCAACTTGCTCGTTCTCCTATTTGTAACGTTTGAATTCTTTTGCTAGTGTTCAGCATGCTTTTGGAATTTTTCAGTGTGAATCAGATTGCTAAATATTTCTATTAGTATTTACTATATAAGAAGATACTGTGGGAAATATTTACCAATCATCTTTATTTAGAACATATGTATGTCCTGATACATCTGCCAAAATGTATTTGACTTTGACTGTCATTGGAATTTTTTCTTCTGTAAATTTGTGTTTATAGATCCTTATGAAGTTTGACGTTTGACCTTATCACATCCTATATTCATGTATTAGTATTCCTCATTGGCAAAGAATTTCATCTACTTGGAATTAAAGAAAATTAAAAGGCCAACTAAATATTAAACCTTCATATTAAATTGAGCCAAATACGTAGGCTATGTATAGAGAGACCATGTCAGAATTTATTTGTGGTGATAGAAAATACATAGGCCGTGTAATTATACTTTGTTCAATCATGGTTCCACCATTAAATATCTGAGTAACCTCTGTGAGCCTTGGTTTTCTCATACGTAAAACAAGACCAATAATACTTATTTTGAAGAATTGCAGAGTGAGTTAAAAATGACCTTTCTTGAATGAAAGAACATGCAGTATGTGCTCAATAATGGTCAGGTAGAGGAAGAAAACACTTAATACAGCGCTTAACACATTTAGTTGATTATTAAATATATTGGTTCCTTTTCTTTCTTCTTAGTAGCCTATTTTTAACATATTGGTTATTTTTTTAATGAAACTTTTATGAATTGAAGATGTCAGTTTGACCCTGAAAATGAAAAGAATGTTTTATAGTTTTTTCCATCTTTTATATCAGCAATTAAGATTTTACTCCTGAGGTTGCCTTAGTCATCTGCGATCTGGAATACATGTGTTTGCAACACTTTACCACGGCAGATGCATAGTGCTGCTGGCTTTGAGCATTTATTTACCAGGACAACTTGAAATGTGGTCTTAGATAAGTAAATGCTCACTTAAAAATCTATTTTACTTTCCAGGTAGCAAAGATTAATATAATGATATAATTAGTTGAGAACAGTAGGAAGAAATGTGAACCTCTGAAAATTATAAAACTTTCAGAACTCAGTCAAGATACAAGTTTAATGTCTTTTTAAATATTATTCACTAAATGATCAGGTTCAGCAGAATTTAGACATTATTGTAATTAAAAATTAACTGATTATTACACTATTGTTTTTAGTTTTAAAACTTAATTTAGATTTTCAGAGATGGAAATAATATAAAAATTATCTAATTACTAGAAAAAAACGTATATACAGCAAAATAACAGATTGTAATAGAGAAACAACTAAAAGGTAAACCCAAGCCTCATGTATCAAGCTATTGACTATAATATGTTTGTGTTTATGTCACTTTGGTGAAAGCTTAGATATTTAATTTGCACCTGTTTGATAGCACCTGTAAGACAAGGCAAGCATGGCTTCTAGAAATATTTAGTGAACGTGGTTCTTATACAGTATCTTTATTATAAAGTGGTAGGGGCAGATATGACAGAATAATCAGTTACCTTTTCTGCAGATAAGAGAGGACAAAATTTAGGCAAGAAATTATATGGTTATATAATTTAATAGAGCAAGAATTCAAACAGATTCTGGGAAAGCCACTAGGTAATGGCATTAAAAACCACATGAAAGTACAGTGGGCAGATTATTTCCTGAACAGTTGGCACAAAAACCAGAATGCTTTAGATCTTAGAAGGTTTTGGTTTCTCTTCTGGGTGTGCAGCTTTATTATGTCTGTGGCCCTTAGCCTGCAGATGACTGCAGGGAAGGTTCTGTAGGAATGGGCTCCTAGAGCTCAGATGGAGGTAGATTATAGGACAAATTGTCCTGAGAATTTCACGTGAGACAAAGACTAGAGAGTGATTGAACTTGCCTCTGGTTTAGAAGTGATGAGAGGTATACTGTAAATGTTTCATTTTTTTCAGGAGTCTGGTGAGGAGATGCAGGCTAGGCCATTCCATTGTCCCCTAACTTTGCTGAAAAGCAAACAGTAATTGTATAGTCACTGAGGACTATTTGCATTCGAGGATGACGAGATGGCAGAGATGGCGAGGAAGGTGCCCAGTTCTCTCTGCTCACTTTGTGCCGCACAACAGCCCACGTATTCCTTGAAAACCATAGAAACACCGCTCTGAAGGGTGCTCAGGGAGTTTAGGTAATCACAGGTTAAATGATAATGCCTGCAGGAATGTCTTCTTGAGGTGATCTTTGAGGTCTAGGGACTTACTGTGACGAAATGTGTTTTTCTGCTAGCACCTTGTATGGGGCTGTGTCCCTTATGTTTTTCAGCAGTGACAATCTAAAATGACTCAAGAAGCCTATAAAGCAGCTAAATCCCGTCATTGCTTGTATTCATATGGCCTGTAATCCCATCTCCTTCATTGCTACTTGGTGTAATTAAAATGTAATTAAATTGTTTGTGTGCCCAGCAACTTTCCTGCGTAAAACCCTATCTGTACAAATTTAGTAATACTTCTTTGCAAAAGGTGCAGCTTTTCTATTTCTGTTTAATGTGCTAACATTACCCTGGCTGCTAAAAGTTTCTTTTATTCATTTTTAGCCAATCCCTTTGCATGTAATTCGACCTACAGATACGACCCCATAAGTTTACTTGTTACTTTTCTGGACAGAGAAACCCATGGCTCAGTAGTTCACAGGCATCGAGTAAGGAACTCTACATGAAAAAATTTAGAGCAAATAGAGGTTTCCTAGACAGATGGGGAAAAGGGGGACTTTGGCAATGAAAGCTTTTTTTTTTCCTCCTAAAAATTTTATAGTATCATAGGAACCATGGCAAAGTATGTATGGCCAGTTTGTACCTGCCTGAATGGTTTACAATGGAGTTCTTGATTCCGCGTGTCCTGAATCATCAGTGTGAACTTGTGTCTACTCTAGGGGAGAGCAAGGAAGAGAGGACATTTCGAAACTGGATGAATTCCTTGGGGGTCAACCCATACATTAATCATTTGTACAGGTAAACATTTTATTGTGTTTCAGCTTTATGGCTAGGGCCCAACTTTTCTAGTTTCAAATTGTCCTGAGGTTTTCATGAGAACATTTTATAAAAATCACAACAATTTCAGGCAGCATTTAGAGTTTCATAATGCTGGGAATTGACAATGAACGGATTTTAAAAGAAAAGTATAGTAGTATTTTTAAAAAAGATAATATGATAGTAGTTATAATTTTGATGATATAAACAATTTGATAAAGAGAATCCATCTTACTCTTTTATAATTATTGGCCAGGAAAATAAATTATTTCCATTTTAACATATTAGAATAATAGTAATATTTTATAAATAGTTATCATTGTATCAATATTTGTCATTATAAGCTGCATTCTATTATTTTGCCAAAACCCTCAATCATGCTATAATTTGTTGTATATATTTTTCTAACTTGTAGAAATAACTTGCTTTCCCTAATTGTTATGATTTATCTTATTCTTTTTTCTTAAAAATGACAATACATTGTTAACAGTGATAGGATTAAGAAACTATTTTACTGAATCATTTTTTGTGCTCTCTGGTAGTGCTAATAAAAATGTGTCTTTCTAGGTGTGGTTGAAAAGAAAACCTTTCTTCTTTCTTTATTATAGGATCTACCAACCTGACTTAAAAAATGCAAAAGAACTAAACTTCAGCTAATTGTATATTTTTTAGAAAATAGGCCTAATTAACTAAACCTGTTTTTTGTTGTTGTTGTTTTTTTTATCCTCACCCGAGGACATTTTTCCACTTTTTGTTCAGGCAGAGTGGTGGGAGGGAGAGAGAGAAACATCGATGTGAAAGGAACACATCGAGTGGCTGCCACCCGCACGACCAACCAGGGCCGGGGACAAACTGCAACCGAGGTACGCGCCCCTAGCGGGAACCGAACCCGGGTCTCTCAGGACCGCAGGCCGACACTCTAACCGCTGAGCCAAACCGGCCAGGGCTAAACCTGTTAATAATCTGCACAGCCAAGGAAATGCCTTAATGAACATTAACTAAATTACTATTTAAATCTGAAATGGAGATAAAATGCCACAAAAGACCAAGTTCACTGACTAGCTGAGAATTTGTGATGGAGTAATTTCTGCTTCTTGGTGTATATTCAAAATATTCTTTAAAATCTAAAACCAGTAGTGCCTTATTATGGTAACTGGCTTTGATGTGATAGACTCTGAAAGGTATGTAAATTCAGCTAAATGACAGAGAGATGTCAGTTAGACTGGGACACCTACCATAGGAGCAGGGCAGTGAAGGGCTCAAATACTGGAGGGGAGGAGCGGCTAGGTCATATGGACACTGGAAGGAATGTCTGTAATATGGAATTTAGAGAAAAGAATAATAGGTCTAGTATGATCCCAATTTTATTTTAAAATTGAGTGTATACATATTTATGTAAGAATTTTCTAAAAATCTAGAGGGATGAATATCAAACTGTATGCAACTTTGGTAGTAGCATTGGGGGGTATGAGGAGACTTTTATTTTTAATCTTAATAAGTTAAGTATGATATTTTGTTTTGTTTTACAATGATCATGTATTTCTATTTTAATTAAAAAGTGCATTTAAAGCTAGAGGATTAAGATTTGTTGACACTCATGGTAACTTGTTCATGGAGGTCAAGAACACTCGAGTTCTCTATGGTTGACAGTGGAGAAGAGAACTGACCATAATTTGTAGTTAAAGATTTTATTTATATAGATACTGGAATGCTAGCACAAGGCTTCTAAGCATATGTAACTTTTTCTTGGGAAAGAGAATTCAGAAAATTCTCAAAAGTAATGTAACCTTGAAGAGAACCACTGGATATAGAAAAACAATAGCTAGAGGTTTAGTTGCCACCAGAACCATGTATCCATGAATTTGTGTTTGAATCATGTTCCTAAACCCAGTGAGTGATTTTAGGTCCCCCACCTACAGTGCATCAAATGTGAACTAAAGCATTAGAATAATTTAGATTAATTTTAACTGAATGTTCTCTCCTCTAAAGAAGTTATTAAACATATTTTAAGAACTATTAGTCATTGAATTTTCTATGACAAGTTGGTTCTGGAATGCATTTTGAATTCTCTGGAAATCATTTTAACTCTCTGGGTTTCAGTTTCTCTATTTGCAAAACATGAGTAATAATACCATACTACATAGAAATAAGAATGAATTCACACCCTGGCTAGTTTTGCTCAGTGGATAGAGCGTCAGCCTGCGGACTAATGAGTCGTGGGTTCGATTTTGGTCAGGGGCATGGACCTCAGTTACGGTTAGTCCTGGCCCTGGTTGGGGTTGTGCGGGAGACAACCAGTCGATATGGCTTTATCACATTGATGATTCTCTCTCTCTTCCTCCCTCCCTCCTTCCCTCCCTCCCTCTTTATCTCATGATAAATTACAAGTCTCCTCAAGTCCTCACCCTTTAAAAAAAAAAGAATGCACTTAAAGTAAAAAAGAAAAATTCATAAAATAGATGAGATTCCAGAAGCTATACAAATACTTTGATTTTTTAAGTACAAAATTCTCAATGTGCTGATAGATAACCTAGGCAGCTCCTAATTACCTTCATAATAGACTCTCTGCCTTCCTTGCTCAGCGTAGGGCCAAGCCCTTCAATGGCATACGCTCAGAAATGCAAAGTAACTTTAATGTGAATCAGACAAACATAACTCAGTGAACAGCTGTTAAAAGAGAAAAGCCACGTTATACGTCACAGACCTAGCAAGTTTAAGATCAGTTGCTCTTTCTTTGAGTCCTTAGCATACAGACTCCACAGACATGCTTTGAGCACCTCAGGAGAACATGTTTTTCTGAATCCAAAGTAGTACTATTCTTACTTCAATAACTCCTACTTGCTCATAGATTCATTCCTCTTTTTTTTTTTTAATCCCCACCTGAGGACATGCTTTTTCCTTGATTTTAGAGAGAAGAAAGGAGAGAGAGAGAAAGAGAAAAAAATATCCATGTGATATCAAACCCACCACCTTTTATTGTATGGGATGACACTCCAAGCAACTGAGCCACACCGGCCAGGGCATTCCTTCCTCTTAACCCTTAATATTTAACACCAACAACTGCCTATTGAGTAGCTATTGTGATTTTTCTGTAATTATTTTAAAAAAATTTAAAAATCATAATGCATAAGCTGTATATGGGCTACATGCCCACTGTACACATTTTAGAAAATAAGTATGTATAAAACAAAACATGATAATCTATCCCTTACCCTTCCCATATTCCCTTTTGTCCTGCCCAAAGATAATCACTATTAACAGCCTATAGCACATATAGGTATTTAAATACTCTTAATTTTAAAAATAAATTTAATAAATAATAAACTATGCAGTGTTCTGCCACTTTATTTTTCATCCATAATATGTCTTGTAAGGCTTTTCATGTCAGTGCATAGAAATCTACCTTATTATGTCTGTGGTGGCCCAGGAGTCCATGCGCAGGATGGGAGTTTAGTCAGCAGTCCTCCACTGCCTGGTATGTAAGTTGTTTCCAGGTGTATAAATACTTTGGCAGTGAATGTCCTTGTACATATATATGTTTGTAAAAATTTATGAAAAAATTTTGAAAACGTTTCTAGATTAGAAGTTCTGGGTCAAAGGATGTATCACATGACCTTATTGTATTTTTAAAGACATAGGCCCATCTCCAGTGTACTTAATAAAATTAGGTAGTACCAACTTTTCCTCCCGCTTCATCTTCTTTTCTTCCTGTTTTAGTGATCTCGCAGATGCCTTAGTGATCTTTCAGCTCTATGAAATGATTCGCGTGCCAGTCAACTGGAGCCATGTCAACAAACCTCCGTACCCTGCTCTTGGAGGGAACATGAAGAAGGTGAATGAAATAACAAATATATATGTAATTCTGATATAAAACAAAAGATTTCGAGTTTTCCAAAGCTTAGTAAAGTGTGATCTGTTCCTAGAGTTCTGATTCAAACCAAGTGTGTTAAGCTGAATAGCCTTTTTACAAGGGTGCTTTAGCACGGGTTTGGAAAGAGGAAGACAGTGTCACCAGTCAGTGACACTTTATATACGGTTTGTGTCTTTAGCAAGTCGTAGTACTTAATGTTCTTTGAGATACACTATAAATGCATTTCTATTTTCTAATTGCCAGAACTTGCCAAATCTTTACTGGCTATTTGTTAACATTTTCAATTGAGTTAGCCTTTGAGAAAAGGATATTTTGTCAGGAGACTGGAGCAAGGCCTGAGGATTATTAGGACGAGGGATAGAGATGGGAAAGTTTAAAGTATTTCTGGGAATCTTCTGATAGATGAGAAATGGGTGTGAACACAAGTTTGGATTGCAGTCAGAGCCTTGAATGCCATATTAAAAAGTTTGGGTTTTAAACGGTAAGCAGTGGGAAACCACTGAGTATCTTTGAGCAGGGCAGTGACTTTATTGCAGTTGGTGGAAGGATGTCTGGCAGATGAATAGTAAAGAGAAGTGCTCATCTCCAGTATTCTTCCTCAAATGGGGCATCGGTGGTGTCCTTGGTTGAAGTTCATGTTTGCTCTGTTGAATTGCTACTTTAATATTCAGCTTTGATTTTGGTTTTTGCTTTTCCTTTCTATCTTCTGTATCAGGCTCATTTGCCTTTAAGACTTTTAAAAAATGTTGTGGGTTTATTTTGTTCATTAAATTCCACAGATGAGTGAAATCCTGTGGTACCTGTCTTTCTCTAACTGGCTTATTTCACTTAGCATAATGTTATCCAGGTCCCTCTGTGCTGTCTCAAAGGGTAAGAGTTCCTTCTTTTTATTCCATTGTGTAATGTGCCACAGCTTTTTTATCCACTCCTCTACTAATGGACACTTGGGCTGTTTCCAGGTCTTGCTATTGTAAATAGCACTGCTAAGAACACAGGGGTGCATATATTCTTTCTGATTGGTGTTTCAGGATTGTTAGGATATATTTCCAGAATTGGAATCACTGGATCATAAGGTATTTTTGGAGGTAATTCTGAAGTGCTCTGCACAGTGGCTGCACCAGTCTGCATTCCCACCAACAGTGCTCAAGGGTTCCCTTTTCTCCACGTCCTCACCAACACCTGTTGTTTGTTGATTTGCTTTTCAGACTTTTAAGTGTTTATGATTTTATTTCACTTTATCCATTCATTTAAAATGGTATGAATAATCCAAATATCTAAAATTAATGGATTCAAATTGCTATAACTTATCAATATTGCTATTATGAAATTTACCTGCATTCTCATGATTTAAAAACTATCTCTAGTTGACTAAATGGAAATATAACCATATTCCTGGATAGAAAAATAAATATTATAAAGATATTAAATTTTTGCAAACTAATTTTTCAATGGAAAGTAATTCCAATTAGAATTCCAAAAACTCTCCTTTGTTTTTTGTTTTTTGTTTTTTGTTTTTAATCCTTACCCACAGATATTTTTCTATTCATCTTCAGATAGAGTGGGAGGGAGAGATAGGGAGAGAGAAACTTTGACATGAGAAGGACACATCAACTGGTTGCCTCCTGCACAACCCCAACCAGGGCTGGGAATGAACTGCAACCAGGGTACGTGCCCTTGACTAGAATTGAACCCGTGACTCATTGGTCCACAGTCCAATGCTCTAACTTCTGAGCCAAACTAGCCAGGCTCTCCTTTAGTATATATGTGTGCATCTATATGTATGTGTTGGGGGATGGGATTTATAGAGTAATTCTTAAGTTCCAGTAGAAGAAGAAACAGGCCTAAGTCATTAAATATTTGTTAAGGCTATTGAGAGAGGAGCTGTTAGAAAATATTTTTACAATAATTATAAAGCTAAAGTAATTGAAATAGTTTAATATGTATGTAAGAATGGAATGAAACAGAGTAGCTTAGAAACCTGACCTAAGATACAAGAACTTAAATGTATGACCAAGGTACTTGCTAAAATCAGTAGGGAAAGTAAATCATCCAAAAAAAAAAAAGATGCCAAAATAACTGGCTATTTTGTTAGGGGAAAAAGTGATATATCATCACCAAAATAAATTCCGAATGGTTTAAAGGTAAAGACTTAGAGGGTTAACTATAATAAATAACACTTAAAAATGGGTGAATGAGACAGACAACAAGTGCTGGCGAGGATGTGGAGAAAAGGGAGCCCTCCTGCACTGTTGGTGGGAATGCAGACTGGTGCAGCCACTGTGGAAAACAGTATAGAGGGTCCTCAAAAAATTAAAAATGGAACTGCCTTATGACACAGTAATTCCACTTCTGGGTATCCAAAGAAACCCAAAACACTAATTTGAAAGAATATATACACCCCTGTGTTTATTCCAGCATTATTTACAATCTCCAAGATTTGGAAGCAACCCAAGTGCCCATCAATAGACAAGTGGATAAAAAAGTGGTGGTACATATATACAGTGGAATATTAGCCATAAAAGAATGAATCTCACCGTTCGAACAGTGTGGATGGACCTAGAGGGTATTATGCTCAGTGATATAAGTCATTCAGAAAAAGACACATACCACATGTGGAAGCTAAAGATCAGAATAAACAAAGTTGAAACAGACTCATAATCAGAGTCTGGACTGATGATTGCCAGAGGGAAAGGGGGTTGGAGGACTGGGTGAAAGAGGTAAAAGGATTAAGTAGAAGAACTTGGTAGTTATGGAACAGTCATTGGGATGTAAAGTATAGCATAAAGAATATAACCAATAATATTGCCGCAACAATGTATAGTACTAGTTGGGAATGGAAATATCAGGGGGAATGCTTTGGAAAGTATATGACTGTCTAAGAATTTAATTACTTAGACTTGATCTAGGACAGTTGGGTAGCACTTGGCAAATTTTTTTATATAAAGTTGACTGCTATGTGATATTTAAACTGATGTTTTTAAGAGGTATTTGTAAGGCATATGGTCACAAATTGTTATTAAATATTCTATACACCTGAAACTATTGTAAAATAGTACCAACTAGAAACTGTCATTGAACTATAAAAAGTAAATGTCATTAAAGCTGCAAAAAAAGAATTTAGTATGAAAAATATAATTGAAAATTGTGTTTAACAGTTACAACTCAAATTGGGAAGGAATGTGCTATTTTTTGTTCTTTTTTATAATTAAAGTCAACATGTATAGAAAAATTAAGAAGGTGAATGATTATCTACTCTTGGAATGATAAAGAAATTACAAAGAAAAAATGATATAGTAGATTACATGTAAATTTTATACTTATGTATAAAAAAATGAATACCATAAATAAAATGAAAAAGCAAACAATAACAATAAACTTGGAAATATATTTGCAACAAATAGTTAATATCTTTAACATATGAAAAGTTTATACAAATCAACTACTAAAACTTGATTGCTATTACTAAAATTATAATAGCAAAATGGGACAGTGAACAGTATGAGTGAAAAATTTACTGACAAGAAGTAAGATGGATAATACACATGAAAATAATTTTCATCCAAAATAAAGAAATGCAATTTAAAATAAGAAACAATTGGGTTGTACTACATCCAGTGTTAGAAGAAATATTCATTTGTTTAACTTTTCTAAATTCAGTTTGGTAATATATATCAGTACTTTTCAAAAAGCCATTTGATTCAATAATTTCACTTATTATCTAGCCTAATGAAATAATCAGAAAGACAGGAAGTTGCATGCCAAAATAGTAGTTATAGCAATATTTACAGAACAAAAAAATTGAAACAATTAGTTGTTCCATAATGGGTTACTAAATTATGATGTACCCATAAGATGAAGCAAATGTACCATTAAAAAATAGCATTTTTAATATTTTACTAATAGTGACATGGAAATAAACAGGATAAAAATGGCATATATATATATATATATATATATATACATACATGAATCTAATTAGTTTAAAATACACACAGGCACACATTCAAAAAGGACTTCTGTTCTTCATATCCCTAGAATGAATATGTATTTATAGTCTTTGGACTTGAAAAAAACTATTTTTAAAAATAAGACAAACAGGAAATGTATCATAATATTAAAATTAGTTAAATGAGTAGTATAATTTTAAGAGATTTATATTCATATTTTTTAGTATTTCTAGTGGTTGAACTTGCCTAATTTAAAATTTTATTTGATTTGCTTACAATTCTAATCGTGGAAGTTGGATTCAGAAAAGTTTGTTAACTAATTTCATGTAAGTTTTTTAAATAAAGTTTCTAGATGCACAATGTAACAGGAAAACAAAAATAGAACCAGTTATCATACCTGGAATTTTTATGTTAATTGTAAGATGTCACAAATTAATTTACACACGGGATGCTTCCTTTGAACAAAGGTTGCTGTTTATAGAATGAAGCATAAGGCTTGAAATAAGTTTAGGATGTTTAAAAAAATAAGTAGTACTTTCATGATGCAGTATCATAGAAAGTTATTTTGTGGGCTTTGGGCATTCATCGCCAGACATCTTTTTGCTTCATATGTAAAGTTCATAATGCTTCACCACTTACAGTCTTTCTTCATGATTTCTTCAGTGTTTCTTTTCATTTGGAAGCTTGCGTTTTATTATGTGATTTCTCTCATTTTCCAAATGATCTATGCTTTACTTTTTTCGTTTGTTTGTTTGTTAACCCTCACCCGAGGATATTTTTTATATTTTTCCATTGATTTTGAGAGAGAGTGGAAGGGAGGGGAGGAGGGAGAGGGGAAACACCGATGTGAGAGAGACACATTGATTGGTTGCCTCCTGTATGATCCCGACTGGGGCCAGGGATCAAACCTGCAACCCAGGTCATGATCTTGACCGGAATTGAACCCGTGAGGGCTGACCCTCTAACCACTGAGCAAAACTGGCCAGGCTAAACTTTACTTTTGTCCAAAGTATC